TCAGATTTTATTATTTTGGTTACTCTTTAGGGGTCTAAGTAGTGGGTTGTACGCGGATCATTACAATCATCAGGCCAAATCATTTTAAAATATACTATATGGCTCTTGCTGAAATATATTTCCCAATATTTGCTTTCTTGGCTCTCTGAGTTAAAAAGGTTGCCGACCTCTGGCCTAGTTCATGCCGACATTTGTAGTGATTATATTGTTGTTAAGTACTTCAAGATATCTTTAACGGCTCACCAAAACCCTGTGTATACTATATTATACTATAGATCCTACCGAACTTACTGTCCCTATTCTGTCCGGTTTGCAATAAGTGTTGATGCGTAGGCAGCAAGGAGTCTCACGAATCCCTATAGACTGGAGGCCGGAACATTGCCTCTGAAACTAGGTGCTGATTGCTTATTGTAATTTTCGCTGTTCATCCAATTCGTCTGATTTTTCCTTAACTGGTTTCGTTGAACACATTCGAAATTCATTTTCTTGCAAATTATCGACGAAATGTCCTTCGGGGATCCCTGAACTTGCGTACTGGGGAGGCAGTAGTGCATTAAATCGGGTCAACACAGTTTAATCCCACAGAGTCCATGCAGTTGGTTATCTATTCGTTTCTATTGCATGACGGTATTGTAATTCTCTAGCAATGGCTTCTCTTTAGCTACTTATTTAATTCCACACACCCGACAATATACATTCCGGCTGTGCTGCCCAGTCACTTTAATTTTTGTCTCATTCAACGTTCTGTCCATTCAGTGTTTAATGTTTGGAGTCCGTTTTGCTTGATTGACAGTTGTCTTGGTAGACCGCCAAACCCTCATACACTCACTGCAATTCTCTTTGCATTTCTGCTTTTTATCCGCCTAAGTTTTAAACCCTCAACAGTCACTTGCTACATGTCGTCACGGAAATTATAAACCTGTGATAATTCTACCCATCCTCAAATAATCCGTGCGTTTTTGTTTAAAAGGAAAAAAGCGGTTACGAAAAAGGTGATAAATTAATCTGTTAGGTGTGTTTGCTGGAAAATGGGTCAAGATAAATATCATATTATTGCTTGTTTATCCCATATTACGGCTTAAATGTTCTTTACCTGTGACCGAATTTCATTATTGCATTATTTTTGAAGTGCTCAACTCTTAATTTGATCCTGTTTCCAGTTGACCTTAACACGACCACTAGTTCGTCATATCGATAGCCATTTCCCCCATCCTAGCTTCTCTATGTTCTTTGGCTTTTGCTGAGGACAATACCGAAGTACACCGCTCAACTTTTCACGCGCCGGGTTCTAAATTATTTCTGACCTGATTTTTTGTTTTTAAGCAGCACTCGACTCAACTCTTACCAAAGTCACCGAAGCACGCTCATCATATAACACGGCGTGATGTAAGACCCCAATTTTTGGGGGTTTGCCCACAATTGCACATTATGTGCATGGTCTTACCAGTTCCAGTGTCGTATAAAAATAAATTCTTGTTCGAATTATTTGAAGTCATTCGTATCTTTCGATTTGATTTTTTTAACTATTCGTAGCTAGTATTTCCCCTTCCCAGTGTTTCTTACTCTTCGCAATTTCTCTGTCAGCTGTTTTCCTCATCGACGCATTGAATTACCGTTGACCGGCTGATGCAATCCAAGAGCGTCATGGCTACTTCTGACCTTATTTCAAACATTGCCATCGCGGATATAACTAAGGTCCAGGTAGATGACTTTGCGGTAAGCTTTCTTTTTTCATATCCCGAACAATTCATCCTCCCTTTATAGAAACAAATCACTCTAATAGAGATGTCATACTTTTCGGCAATTAAGCGCTCGGTAAGTTAGAGACCACCGCGTCCAAGCTACTTATTACCTCTCTGTAGGAGTTTTTAAGTCTCAAGTGGAATGGACGAGACAAGAATGTATATGCGCCCAACATTGTTGCATCCACGCGTTGGTTTAACCAGGTATGCCAAACCCTCTGCGCCATTATGTGACCTAATCTAACTTATTTAGCTCAACTTTTGGGTTCAGAAGGAGATTCTCAAGTATCCAGCCGTAAACAAACGCACGGAGGTGCTCTCTTACTTTATTAAACTAGCCAAGGTGCGTCTTCCCTCCCCTCTTTTATCCTCTTATTGGGTCCCAAACCAGAAACTTGCGCTTTAAATTCGTGCCCCCTTGCTCACTGAGAACCTTCAAAGCTGACTTTCGGGTGTTTTTCTTCATGCATAGGCGTGGCTATCCCGCCTATTCGAAAATCCTTAGATAACTGCCCACATTCCTTTTATTTTTGATCAGAAATTGCAGTGGCTGAGCCGGTTGCAGTCCTCTATAGCGAAATTCACCTACCCTTTACAATGCTGGCGATCGCGCATGCCGAGCTCGAGTCCCTTACCACAAATTCGGGGTAGTTTTAAGTATTAGGAAAGTCGAAAGTTGTGCTTTGTCCGCAAACCAATTAATCAACACGATTTCTTGACATGAAATGACATTAGACAAACTACTTGCTTATCTTACGATTGCTGGCCTGTAATATATGCTTGCTAGTCCTCTAACTGACCCCCTATTTATTTAGCATAAAGTAGTGAATTGTCTGCAGTATTGTGTCGCCATTTAATTGCGATGCATGAGGTATCCCGAAACGTTTTTTGCGTCCCAAGCGATACAGTTTTATAATGTTGAGCTACAGTTCATGGGGCTCTGTAGTCTTTAGTCATGCTCTTTCCATTAGTTCATCAAACCAAGTCGATGACTACCAAAATTGCCTATGGATAAATCGTTGTTTACATTGCACTCGACTCCGCTTATTTTCCACTCCTATCATTTTCTATGACAACACCGAGTTAAGACGCCCTGAATCGGGTATGGGGACACTGGCCGCCCAAAACTTATACCTTCTCATGTGTCTATTATAGTCTTGTCTATCTAGCCTACACTATTCAGCCTTCCCTCACTGAAAGACCTCACAGCTGACTATTGTCAGTAGGCTACATTGAGAAACAAACATTGCAGCTCTAAACAGTCCCGATGACAGAAATATCCCGCTACTGAGCAACTCCCAAATTCAGGGTTTTTAAGGCACCGATAAGGCTCAAAAGCGCTTCAGGTTTATTATATTTTGCCCAGCGTTATCAAAGGTAGCCTTCCTAATCAGATTGCGCTTGTAGTTTGAGTGATGGTCGGTATCGCGGTGTATTCATATTTATCCACCGAGCCAAGCTACAGCCATAAATATCTGTTGCCCGGAGAAAGGAGGGGGTGGCAAGTTGGAGTGTTGCTATTCTTGTTAGACAGAAAGCTGTCTTACCGAGAGGACCAAGAGGACTGGTTCAGGCACGTAGGCGGCGAAACGGCGCAAGTAGCCTTTGGGAGCAATGTACGTTCACTTGGATATCATATTTTATATGTCGCGAGCATAGTCTTCGCGAAAGTGAGTATATCTAGCCCGTCCTTTTGTTGTTGTTAAAGACGAAAGAAGGCATTTTTAATGATTTTGAGTTCCACTCAGGCTTCTTTTGCGATAGTTTATTACGATTACAGTTGCCTACTTTACAATGAGGGAAGACGCTATCCCTGCTAACGTGTTCATTGCCTACTCGCACAGTGGTACCTCCGAAAACGATGGTTTTGTCCGTCACCATTACAGAAACCATAAAAAAATTGGCGGCCTCGTTTAATTCCTCAAACACTTCACTATGACTTGTCGTTGTAAAGTGTAGTTGGCGACATTACTAATGTTTTTTCCGCCAGATAGCACCTCCATCGAATCATTGTTGTAGAATGCCACTCTGCTAAGAAAGTTCCAAAAGATTGTATTTTCTTAGCGAATTTCGCATAGCTACCTTCTTTCTACAAAACGGGTATCCCTTATGCTGGTGAAGTTCGTCTTGTGTCCGGCAAGTTCGCGATCGGTTGACTTTCCTCACTGATGATCGGTGGGCTTTGATTTGCCTAAAAGAGGATGGACGCCCCAGACAGCAGGAATTGCCGAAGCCTTTGCTGTATAACTTCGTTCGCCTCTTGGCTATCTGTGCATGGACTGATGTATTTCTTGCTCAGCCCTTGATTTGCTCCTGAGAGTCAAGTGTTGAGACAGCATCTACACTCACCTCGCTATCCCTTCACGTCAACCGGTATAGGTCACCAGCCCAGGCATTCGCCTGCATTCTATCAAGTACACACGGGTAGCTGCCTACTTCTGGGCTGACAGTCAGTAATAACATGCGTGTTAGGTTGCGGATCTGACACTAGCTAGTCAATAGGTTCTGCTCGCGTTTAATTCAAGCCGCTATATAAGCCTTCTTCAAGTTGGGCTTAATGTATCGCTGTCGGCCACAAAGACTCTTCTAGATGAAACGGCACGGCAAGGAAATTTTTGGACATACGTCAAAAGGATCTCCCAGGGTTGTTACACATAGAGATAAAGACTCTGTTGGTGTTAGCAATGCCCGTATCTGCGATTTTTGCCGTCAGCATGAATCCAGACGAGTAAAGCTTTGCGTTATTGTGAAGTGGGAGCTCAGAGAGTGAACATCTACAGATTTTTGAATAGTTTATCAGAGAGCATTGCGGCTTATGGAGGGTTGCTCCTCAATTACCGATGCT